TTGCTGGGAAAGGGTGACAAACGTGTAACGTGGTGCAATCTAGAAAAATGACAAACGCGTCAAATGACAAAAGCTGGTGTAATTTCACCATCATCGATCTTGCTTTTCTTGAAACCGAGTTAAATGCAAATACTCGTGAAGGGCTTTTAACGGTGACAGTAATGATAACAAATTTTTCTTTTAACAGTAAAATGTTTCTCATAGAAGCAAATGGAATAATCGATTTAAGCTTTCATATCCACTATTCAAATGTTTTATTATTTCGAATATTAGATTTTGCTATTTCAATATCATTCTATATTAATAATAATTTAAATTGTCACAATGAACATTGCGAAATAATAATGAAGATATATCTTCATTACTCTAAAGTATTCATGGAATTGGAAGATAATTTGAGAAGCAAATAGAATATGATCAATTTATTTATATTTAATTTTACTTTTTTAAATTATTATTCCATTAATCTTCTCAGAAAGAGCGAATATATCTCTCTATTATTTCAGTGGAATAAAAATTCCACTGTAATGAGTTTGAACTCATTACAGGAGAAACTTTGTCTCTTTTAATTATCTTGGAATAATTCCTTCGTATAAAAGGGAAATAATTCGAAGATCAAAAATATGTTAAAAAAAAAAAAAAAAATGCAACACTTATCTCCAGTATTCGATTATCGATAGGCTATCGGTTGCACTTGATGCTCCATTTTTTTAAAGAGATGTTTAAGGGCTTCGTTTAAGATACCCTGAAAGAACATTTTCTTTTTTCTTCTTCTTATGGACGAAAAATTATTTGAAACACAAGGAAATGAAGTATCGCTTGATTACGATTGTCTGAAAAATATATTCCATAGAATTCTCGAGGCATAAACTTCGCTTGTATTTACTCTATGCTTCGTCGTATCGATTTTTAATTATTGTGTTGAAGAGCAATGAGTGTCTTCGATAATTTCGTTTAAAACACGAACGATACACGTTTCACGATAAATTATACTGGCTGTTCGAAGTTTATATACGTACACAAAACCTAAAAATAGATAGGATGAAATGGAAATCTGTACATCGTGTATTCAAATTATCCAATTTCTAACAAAATACCTAGATTTGTAACTTCATTGAATTTCAAGCAGTTTCAAATTTAACATAGTTCCCTCGTATAATTACATCATAATTTTACATTTCATTACAACAGCGAAGTTTCATGCAACAATATGCGTTAAATATTCACTCGTTTTCACAATTTTCTTGAAATAGCAACTCCAGAGAAAATAAAAATCTAATAATACGGTGGATAATCAAATTATTATAAATATTTGAAGAATGGAAGTGAAACTATCTGTCTTTTTAACGATTTTAAATATTCGTTTAAGATCGAATATTAAATAAAAATAATATCCAGTTCTAATTTAAAGAAAAAGAGATTGCAATTTTAATATTGATTTTATAATTCTAATTGCAATTATAATATAAAATATATTTACTTTATATTGATCATTTTTTCTATTATCATATATATATATATATATTTTTATCAAATTAGATTCAATTCCATTCTCGTTCCATTCTAACGAGATTCCTCTCAAACGATAATTTCCAAGCGTGTTCGCAATAATTCCGTCATCCATCATTGTAAAACAGTCGATGAGGGTCAAATGAAGAGAATCAAGATTCGTAAACACGCGTGTAAAACTGAAAATAAAAATCGTTCAAATAAAAAAAAAAAAGAAAAAAAGCATGGATATATACATCCCCCATCCATCATTTAACAGCAGGTAATAAAGGAAAAGATGGTAATAAAATTCCCATTAATGTGTAATCCAAACCATGATATACGCCTTCTCCGTGTTTTCTTCCTTCTCCCGTAAGAATCCCAATAAATCACGGGCATAGTGAAATTTGCATAATTGCAGGCCCGATATTCAAATTCGAGCGCGACGTCCGCGTTTTCTAACACGTGCGTCTGAATCGATAATATCCGGTGACACACATTCTTGGCGCGGAAATGCGTGATATATATCATCTTTATGCTCCGTGGATGGAAACGAATAATCTTGCAACGTTAATTCGCATCGGCACACCCCCTTTTGAATCGTATCGATTCGATAGAAGATAGTTTCTCTCGTCGGTACCGGAAAGATCGATACAGTGTGTTATGAAATAATGTTTTCGATAATCGCATCGACGTGGACGTCAATTTCTCTAATATATCAGTATGAATGTGTGTCAATATTTGCTCCGTAAGAATATGTTCTCGAAGATGTAATTTATGAGCGTCTTAGCATTCGAATATTTTGTACTTGAAAAGTTCTGAAAAGTACAACGGCGTATTAATATTGTCGTCCTTTTTTACATCTTTACAGAATTTCAGGAGGAACAAAAGTGAGGAAGAAAATGATTTTATGAATATTATATAGGATATAATGTACGATTAAAATTACGTACGTATGCGTTAGATTTTTGAAAATGTATCTTGATTCCATTCAATTTTTATTTTCGTATTTTTGATACTTACTATTATAGAAATAATATACATTTAAAACGGATATACTGTATGCATTTATATAAATATAAACTTCATTTCAACTGGTACAGACTCGACAAAGATAACAGGATTAAACTCTTTCCTCTGTTAATTACTAATTTAAAATAAAATATAGGATTCGAATCTGATTTTCATTCAAATAATAATAACTAAATCAATATTTCAGTTCGACATTCGTTTCTTTTATTATTAACTGTGAATTTCAATAGGAATTATATCTACGTTATTTTTGGGGTAATGACGAACGAAACATATTGTTGGATCAAAGATTAAAGTAGAACGAGTCTACAGGTGGCATGTATCTTCGATTCTTCTACTTTCCGCCCTTTCATCGATCTCTCTGTACCAAATTTCCACACCAGCTTTCCACGCTACTGATTTTCTCATCAAAGAATCTTCAAAATATGTCATGGAATATTTAAAAATACTCGAAATATTGAAAGAGATTTTTTCACGAAAAGGTTTTTGTCAAAATTATCACAAAGTATTATGGAAGATCTACATGGAAGATCCTAATGATTAATAACTCAACATCTATATGGAAAAATTCTCTTTAATGAGAAATTCGCACTGTGATTCACCTATGATAAATAGAACCGATTAATTGTTAATAAATAAATAAAAAGAATAAACGTGCAAGATATTTAAAAAAAACAAATGAACATATCAACGCATAAAGCTTAAATCTATCTACCATCTAACTAAAATTAATCTTTATTACTTCTACTATTATTTATTATTCACCAACATTTTATCTTTACGAAATTATATTAAAAGATAATTTTGTACACATAACAATTAACAATTACAAAAAACCAAAAGAAAAAAACAAATCTTTTTTACAAAACTATTATTCAGAATAAGAAAGTATCCACTTTCGAGCGATACATGCCTTCTCCAATCCTCTTAATAATATTTCATTAGAAATCAAAAGAAAAATTAATCTAATCCAATCTTCTCTATCTGAAAATCACACACGCGTGAAAGACGGCTAATAGAAGGCGAACAACCGGCGTGCAATCCGCGTATCGGACAGAGTCGGTCGTAGAAACATCGGCTGGATCGATCGCGAAAGTTTAATTAATTATCGACGAGCTCGCGGGACAGCGCTAATTGCTTTCTCGAGCAACGCGACGTTGGTCGTGATTAAGGCTTCCGGTGGGAGGTGGTGTGCTGACCCCAAGGTTGAAATTAAGAATTAACCTGCGGGTCTCGCGGGACGTGTAGCACCGGCTACTTTCATTCTCGCGCCGAAGGCGACAAATTGGCCGGGCTTCGATCGAATAAATCACCGGCCGAGAAGAATGAAATAGCGTTCGACGGAAATAGAATCCAAAGGGAAAAGGGAAAAAGGAGAGAAAAGGGGTTGCGACGAGTTTCTAAACGTTGGACGCTGATATTACAGTGCATCTTGGAGAAAAATTATTTATATTGGTATATCTGTGTGAAACTTGAATCTGAAAATTTATAAATTTGTTTTTTTATTTGTTAGTATTTAAAGTGACAAGAAAATCTTTACTTCTTTCAATTTTCAGGTGGATACGATATTGTTGTTCATAGTTAGTAATAATATGGAAAATGATTAAGTCATTCTGTTTTGACTCATACTTTTCCTTGAAGATATAATACTATCAATTCCAAATTCAAATACTACTACTAACGTAAATAGATATCCAAGAAATATTCTATTCCTATATAATTCTACTTTAACTTTTTATTTATAACTAAATACGAAGATGAAAGTGATCGAAAAATAATTAATAATTATATTTACTAATCGATTATCAAAAAATTGTAGTACATACTTCAAAACTAATCGAATATCAGATCTAAATACTTGGAAATAAATTCGATGATTCTTTAAAATGTTACGTCATCTATAATAAAACATTATTGATAAACAAGGTTTAATATGGCGAAGAATAATTGTAAAATGTGATTGTTCGTGGGATTTTTTGAATTAGCTACGAAAATAAATATGATGAATGGTTTCCACTGTATATATGAAAATTCGATATGACATGCTGCGTTATTTCATCTTTCGTTATTGGATCTATAATGATTCAGCGACAGAGAATATAAAATAGAATTCTAATTTCCTGAACGATGAATTTATGAGGATACATATTGGAGCATCATTGATTATTTTTCAATCGAATTTGTTTGAAACATAATATTGGAAATAATATCTTCGAATTCTTTCTCCGTGTGCTTCTTAAATTATTCTTTAAAATATATTTGCAATTATGAACAAATAATGGAAAATATTTTGAAATATTAAAATATTAAAAAAGAAAGGAGAATCGTATGCATCGATACGCGAGATTTAATTTGAAAAAAAATGAACGATGAATATTAATAATATCGAATTACCATTAAAATTTCAACTCAGAGATATTATGAAATAATAATTCGAATTCTTCACTGCAAAAAATTGTATGCTTACATATAAAACTCACCTGATAGCTGGCGTTCCGACTGCGAGCGTGGTTGCTGCAAACTCTGCAATCAAACGAAAGAATTCGATCAGTTTGAAAGTAGATCATTATAGAATAACATCAAGTTTCTAAACTATGCTTGGGAAAAATATATCGTGACTCGAATTTGATCTCCTTTTATTCCTCTATTTCGTAGTATTTACGTATCGAGATTGAATTTTTTTTTCGTGAACTGAAAAACAAACAAACCCTAATTGTACATCAAGCTTGTACTTCTCTTAGAATAAAACCGTAGAAACGGAATTCTTTGTGCGACGATTCTCATTTCGCAGTTATCGTCTATTCTTTTCTCTCGTTCCGCGAAGGAAAATGTACGGTAAAGCAGGTTGAACGTGTAAATTTCCTCCTATTTGCATAACAATTTCCTGTTACTTTGCGCTGGCATTTCAGACGAAGTTTTATTTCTACATCTCAGGCAAGTTTCAAATCTAGCTCAATAACATTCCTTCAAAGGCTCGTCTTATTATTTTTTAATGCGTTTGTTGAATATCCTTTTTTCTTGTTCTCAAGAAACGCGGACAAACGAAATCACGACCAACAAAAAAAAAAAAAAAAAAAAAAAAAGAAAAAAGCAATGAAAATTCTACGAAATTAAAATTCGATTCTCGTATTAAAATTAAAACGTTTAATTCCGCCAAATAATTCCGACAAAACGTGCACAACCTCGACCGAGTTATTAATTAAATCAGGGGTAACGAGCAAATTTATATAAAATTAGCATCGGTTGATGGCCAACCGATTTGCGCATTTTCTCAAATCGTGTTGACGCTTAATTGGCTACGTTGAAATTTACGTGGGCGCGTATCATCATCATATTTTACGTGCAATTAAAGCTCCGCGATGCGTGGAGAGCGTGCTTCGTAGGAAAAAATAAAGGGAGAGAAAATGACCACGGGGTTGGCAATGGGGAAACGGGAGAGCGGAAGAGGTCGAACCATGACCTACATACGTCGAGATATCGAACACAGCGTCGAAACAAACGTACGACCGTGACCTTATCGTGGAGGAAAGCGATTCAACGATTAACATCGTTATGTTATAATTTAATTGTGCGTGATTTCATTAAAAAAAAAAAAAAAAAAGGGCAACGTGTGGGTTGGCGACATTCTATCCCCCTTCCTCTTATGGAAAATAGACGGGGATACGATGTGTTGTTATTAAATTCACGTTTTCTACGCTTTGATAAACTTGTTCTTTGCACGAAACGATATAATTTTCGATTATATATTTGTCGATTAATAGAAGACAGATAATAACGCTGAATAATATTTGGGGAAATAAATAATAATGATATTGGATTGTATTTAAATAAAAATGGTATTTTAAATAAGATGTAAAATTTCAACGAATAAAATATTTTTATCCTAACGATACGAATCACAAAGTTGAGTATTTTATTTTAATAATCTGGCATAAAGTAAAATTATTATATTGTAATGACGCAGTTCTTTGATTTGAAATCTAAGAGTTTTTATTGTGGAGATATTGCAAGACGTTAAGGCGAGGACAAGTTGTAAATAATGGTATAAATAATAGTTGTATTACCATTTTTAGTACACGATATATAAAGAGAGATTAGAAAATCAATATATACTCATAAATGTATTGAATGGGAATCATTACTTTCAGCAATAATATTTAAAATAAAGAAAACAAATTAAGATAAATTAAATATTTTAATATAAAATCCGAATAAAATGGTATTTTCAATTACTATTTAAAAATTTTTCCGTATCAAATAAAATATTTCATTTTCAAAGAATTATAAAATAGAATTACTCGGTATTTATTATACTAAAATGATATTTTATTCAGCTCTGGTGCAGAGTTAATTTTAAAAATAATAATGAATTTTCTTTCGACACTTTTTTAGCGCTGAAAGATATTTTCTTGTTTGATTGGATTATGAGCTTTGAAATGTCAACGCCTTGGAATATTAAAATAGTTCATATTTGTAAAATAAACTTTTTATAATATATTCTTCATTTCGTATTTATAGATCTCGCGAATTCAATTTTATCCGAATCTGTGGATGAATATATTTCTCTATTTTTTATTATTCATGTTTTTTAATCCATTCACAATCATTTCTTTCGATATTTAAATGGCTTGTATTATCCATTATAATTTTATATTTCTCTGCACGAAAAATATAAAATATCGTGCCAGTATGTGAATTTCCAATCTATAGATAAACGATTGTTTTGTTTAAAATTATTTTTTACGTAGAATTTTATTGATTTTATTTAATATTGCACGTATTCTAATATTATTTTTTATACTTTCAAAACTGAAATGTTTAGAGAGCAAGAATTTCGTAAGAGATTATGTATGCATATCTGGACAATAAATGGGGATAAATGTTATTAAGAATAATTAGTTTTGATATTGACAAAGAGATTTTGAAAAAAATATCGATAATGACGTAATAAAAATTGATTAATTGATAATGATTGTGAATAGAAAATAAAATCATAAGCATTAATATATCTTACTTCATTGATATTGATTTTGGAAAATTTTTCCATAAAGAAAAAAAAAAAAAAAGAATTCAATTTTGAATTTTAAGAATTTAATTTAAATTTAATTTAAGCATTATAAATTGTTGTATTAATAAATATAATTTTAGATTTCTAGATTAATTTGGATTTCACTTTACAGAGATATTTCGTTCATCAAAATAACGTCATATAATTTAATTGCGCCAAATAGAATCAAGTTAGAAAGCAAATTCGAATTCACCTCGATATAATCGCATTGCATTTAATACATACATCCTATTAAATGGAACCGCATTTTACCAAAATCATCGATGTGAATGTAATATTATTAATCTCCAGTAGAAACAGTTGTTATACGCATGCAGCATCATTTTAGCATTTCATTTGCATTTCAGAGATACGAAATTTAAGACGAGAATATGTATTACGAGAATATTCGAAATTAATTGTCCTTCGCCGCAAAATACGAAACGATAAACTGAGCTGTTTAATTACGTTTAAATTGTAAATTTTCAAAAAGAAAAACTGGAACACAATTGCAAATATTTCTCGAACCAATAATTAATTTTCTTTTTTCTTTTATAAGCTGCATAACTTCAAAAAAATTTCGATAATTCCGATTCCATGAATTTATTTCCTGTTTTTATCAACACAATTTCTTTTCTCTCTCTCTTTTTTTTTTAATGTATTGCAAATAATACGATTCAAGAAAAATTATCCGTAAAAGTTTGTCTTTGTTTCTTGATTTCAATCTTCAATTGAATCGTAAAATCCGTATCGACTTTTTTCCCAATATTTCTCTTTGAGGGTTCCATTCCAACCGATGATGCGAAGCTAAATTAAATTATTAAATAACTCATTCTTGCTTTTCATCGCATTGATATATGATCTCGGATAATCATTCCATTTAAAATATTTTTATCGACACCATTTGATCGACGTTAATTCCAATTCCTTTTTTATTCACCTTTTACATTTACCATTATGAAGAATAATTTTTCATCGATGCATTAATTTCTTTGCGCAAGAAATAATAAGAATAACGATAAAATATAAATGTAAAGTCAACATCGATGACACGAATATCAACAAAATAAATATCGGTAAATTCAATGTGTCGATAAATGATATTATCGCAATTGTCATAATATCAATCGAATAAAAATATCATCGGTGAATTTGAAATAGGAATACGTCTGTAATATTCACGTTATCGTATTATTTGTATAATTATTTACTATTAAACGATAAAAAAACAAATAAATTAATTTTCAATTAAAATCGTGAGGCAGATAATAGAGTTCACTGTTATACATTGAATCTTTCTTTTCAAAATATTTCTTTGAAGGTTTGTCGGTCACATCACAGGTGCAATGATTTTTTCTCCGTTCTCTTCTGTCCTTTCGTGCATACAACCCACACACGATAGTTATTAAAGCCACGAGAGACACCGACCGATTAATATGTCGACATGGCTCACTGCTCCATTAGCTTTGATCACTTATTATCATCTAGATGCCGATCCTTCGCGAAAATGTGTGTTCACCAAGGCGATGCTCACTCGTGTGCAAATTCTCGTGTATCGACATTTCATTGATAACGCGGATTCAACAATGGAACTGTACCGAAAACCAATTGATAAATCTATCCTTTGCTATCTCTTTCTGGTGTTTCTTATGCAGTTTCCGCTCTACTTTCTTTTTCTCTTTTTCTTTCGTGGAAACTTTAGAGATGAATTCAATTGATGGAAAGGATGGATATTTTATTTTCTGATTCTTAATTTATTGTAGTAACATAATTTCTATATTAATATAAGAATATCTTTGGCATGAAATTAAAAGTTTGTTATCTTCTCCTTTTTTTTTTTAAAAAATTTCCTTCGAGTTTTATTCCAGGCATAGAAAATTTAATATCAAAAAATTATTCAAGAAATCAGAAATTGAATAATGATTATCGACACAATGGTTTATCTTATAAATTCTTTGAATTCTCTAAAACTTTATTGACACGTCTGTTTCTTATTTTACAATGACTTTGAATTCTGTAATTTTGAATGTTTTCTGAGTGTCAATCAATAGTGAATGATTAACTGAATTCGTTTATAAATTTATTAATTTCAATCGAGATTTCAAGATAATAATATCGTATTTCACCATCGTATGTAACTAAAAATTTATAAAAAGCCGTGACACGAACTATAAATAACGTTGCTCTTCGAAGGACCAAAAATATTACTTCAACTAAAATATCATTTTTAAGCCAGTCCATACCGATTAACAGTTGATATTCCATAACGTAACAATGGGATACGCTCGTGATTTATAGACACTGAATATGGTGAGCCGCAAGCAGATCAATAAATTGCGAGTAAATAACACTCAGTTGGTTACACACTTTGTACCCAATTTTTTATCGTTTCATTCGAGGATGAAAAAAAATATGGACAAATAAATAGAATATTACGAGTTCGTGTAAACTGTATTCGCTATGAATTATTGTTATTATTTCAAGCAACCATTTGTCTTCTTTTATTTCTATTTCAGTAGTAATTGTAGTCTGTAAAAAATTGAATATTACAAAATTGAATTTTACAAAATTGAATTTTACAAAATTGATAGTAAAATCAAATCACTTACTTTTTCAAATATATCATTCTCTTATAACTACAAGAGTTATAAACAATTTGACTCGAATATTTAGTTTGTTTTTTAGTGAAAAAATTATAATTCTTTTCTTTTCATTTTGAAGCGTATAATAAAGTTTGAAAATCTTAAAAAATGTAAAACGTGATGCAATACGACTCATAGAAAATTAATCATAGCCGCAAAGCTGAAAGCTTCGCTTATGTTTTTTCAAGTGTGCCGACTGAAATTATATTTATCTTTCACTGAAAATAATTAATGGACAATCGAAAAATTCGTTAATATTTAACGTAAAATTATTTTACATTCTTTTTCTTTTTTTTTTAATTCCAATCATCGACCAATATATTTAAAAATCTATATAAATGAATATACTTTTATCTTTTATAATCTTCAACCGAGAATATATGGAATTAAAGTATTTTTTCGAAATTGAAAATTAAATTGTACGAATAATAATTCTTACAGAAATACATTGATAATAATACTTACTAATCAAACTAAAATATTCGATAATCAAATAATTTTACCGCCCAATTATAGGAACCATCGAAATTCAACTCGATGCTGCAAAAATTCGAATATTATTTTCTCCCCCGGCATAATCGGTGGCAAAAATGGCCGAAGTAAGTACAGAATATCGGTTCGAGAGCGAAGGGTCGTTTTTAGCATCAAAGAACCGCTGCTGACCTTGAACAATTTACGTATACCAGGCATCCACCAACGACGAGGTTAAAATCGTTATCGAGTCGCTTTGAAATTGTCCTATAAATTGCGACTATTACTCAATACTTGGCGTGAAAATATTCAAAGAAGTTGGAGGTAAAGAAGTTTGCGACTCGTGTCAATGCGAGGCGATCGTCACGATATCAAAGAGAGTCCTTCTCCGGATAAATATAGAGCTGGCTCACGCTATTTGCCCATACAACGTCAACGAATGAGAATTTATGGCATCCCTCAGGACACAGAGGATCGTTCGCCTTCCGTTTTCTTTCGTGTGATGGAGAATACATAGTTCATAGGTGCGGGAATGATGAACTATTGTTGTTGCTCCATGAGATGGATTTTAAGTGTTTCCTAGCGTGAGATAATATTGTGACATTATGAAATATCTAGGTAGAGCAGTAGTTTCAGGTATGATAAACATGGAAGAGATTTAGAGATCTGGTGTAAATATAACGCCTATGAAGTATCCGTGGAATGAAATTCTAAAAATAAGAAATGTACTTATTAACTTGATTATTGTTAATTTTGTTTTTCTTTTGTTTTAGAAATCGTTAGAATTTTTTTGAAATCATAGAAAATATTTTGTTTTTGAAAAATCAATAGCAGGCTTTAAAATCAGTATATGGTAATTTTTAATATTTGAATGTAATTGCATAAATATGCAAATTCGTATATCTATGAATATTATTAACGAGATGAAATTTATAATATAAAAATTTGCTGTTTAAATTGTATATTTTTGCGCGTCAAAATTTTCCATAAACGCATGAATATATTCGTAGTACGATAATGATGGTGCTCGAAGAATTTTGAAAATTAATTACGCGAGGTGAGATAGGTGAGAAGGTTATTTTTTCAGATAGGGGAAATAAAAACGATCAATGAGGAACAAAGTACTAATCCCAGGTGTAAAAAGAGACTATAGAAACTGCAACCGACTAATTAACTGTGAAAATGGTCGACGAAGAGTTTAAAATTAGCGATCAGTTCCAACAACTATCGATCCTCCATTCGTTTTACGTTCTTTCTTTCATTTTCAAACGGAAATTTGAAATATTCTCTTGTTTAAAGAGCTCCCGCATTTCATTTCAACGTCATAAAATGATAGATTAAGAATAAAAAATAAAACTAAATTCATAAAAATTTTCATATAAATTTTAAAAATTTCAAGAATTAACACGAAGATAAAAAGCCAATTAAAAAAAAAAAGAAAAACAAGAGAACCATCGTTTAACTTATCTGTAATCATCGACTCATCCGCAAAATACATCGACGATCCGTAAAGTAAATGGGGATACCCGTCGTGAGGAGAATTAAGCTCATCATCCCCTCAAAGTATCCATGGTTCTATCATTGTACGAAGCGTGCATGCACGTTACAATATTAAAGAAAATCCGATTGACTATCGAGATATCGAATACTCAAGGGGACCTGCTGCGAAAGGAAATTTAAAATCTCCTGTTTAACAAAGTTCCAATTTTACGACAAGAGTGGATAACATCGATCGTCCTCGATAAGCATCCGATCGCAAACGCCAATCTTGTTCGATGCTTGTTTCAATGGCCGCGAGGAACTTCCAGTTCCGAACTTGTAATCGTAATTTCCCTAACTTCCGGCTCAACAACCACTTCCTCGAACGAGGTTTCTCGTGGATAGCCATTTACTTCGAATCTTCGAAGGACATTATACGATGATTTTAACATTCTTGAACTTTTAATTATTGGATTAAAACATTTCTGAAATGAATACGAATATCTACATCTTGTGCAATTTGTACAAAATTAAAGAAAATATTTCATATGAACATTTCATAGCTGATGCAAAATATTTTATACAACGATCAAGATGAATTTTGTGCATAAATTATCGTTAATTATTTTACATTAATAAAACTGAAGATGCGAATACTCGTGGCTGAGTAATGAAAAATTCCTTACAAATACAAGTGAAGACGAATTTGTAAGAAGAAAAAACAGAAAGAAATGTAAAACAAACGTGTAATGCACTCCAATTTCCATGGAAATTATCGAGTAATCGTACGAGCGAGCAACGAAATCCCGTATTTCGCGTGTCGAAATTGGCCGTAACGACGGAAAACGACTGGGCGCGTACATAGGAAAACGAGGCATGAACGAGCTCGAACAAGAGTGCAAGGCTCGCTCAACCGATTGAATTCAACTGGGATCGGTTAATTTGCAAGATATGCGACTCGGCGTTGCCCCGTAGCAGGTGTAGATACCTGTCATGAAAGGGAAATTAAGGTTCATCGTGCCAACAAAGTGTCAATCTTACGATGGCCTGAGCCGGCCCACACACGCACGCGGTGTTACAAGCAGCGGTGAAATACAAATACCGTGTACGCCCGATGGTCAATGCCACGCAACAACGTATATACACGGTTCACGTGGGCAGAGACTAATGGTGGCCCATAAGCGGGGATCACCGAACGGAGCAACAGCCCGAGTCAACGTATCTCAGCTCGGTAATCTCGATGCCAAATGCCGTACACGCTTCGCTGCCAAGTGATTAATGCCCTCTATTGAAGCTAGGACGATGCTCCGTGCCTTCGAATCCCGAACTTGGATACCACTTTTCCTCGTAGACTCGTCGCTTGTTATCGATATTTAAAGAAATATCTCGAGCATACCTGATCTATCTACCACGATATCATGAATAATTGTCAATCGAGTATGACGAGTATGTTGTCGTTGGTTATTTATGATCGATCGGGTTGATTGAATCGAAGGAAGATTTTGGGAGGAAGGTTTTCTGAGATTTGTATTCTGAGGAATATTGCGAGAGAGACATTTGTTACGGTTGGAAGATGAACGAGATTAGAGGGAACAAGATTTTTTTCAACGAGCATATGATTTATCCTCGGTGAAAAGTGTAAAGATTATTTTTCTCCATAGCTAATATTCAAAGTGAACAAAATAATGTCGATTTCTACTTTTGATTAATAGGATTCAGATGATTCGGTCGTGATAAAGTAAGATTTATGCCTGTTCAATAATAATAAACGAACAACAAGATGGAAATATTTTTGAAGATCTGAAAATTATCATAAAACAAATATCCATAAAAAGATTTGTAAATAATCTATACGCACAAAGAATCGAGAAACGAATAAAATGAACGCTCCAACTTTCATTTTACATATTTGTTTGCGAAATGAAAAATAGTATAAATTCATCTCCAAATTTTCTTTTTTTTTTTTTTTAATGACCAACCAAGTGGAACCGAGATATTTTTATAACTAGGAGACGAATGTTTATAGAGATATAGCGTACTTACCGGCACCTTCCCATTCGTTTTCTCCGTGTCGTTGTTCTCCAACAAGGGTGCACTGCTGCTCTTTCCACCCATTTCCACGCTTAGCGGTTCCGGTTTCAATTGGAGGCTGGCGGCGGATGGGGATGAGGGTGCTCGCGGCGGTGTCTCCAATAATTCTCCAGAGCTTAGGGAGCTACTCGCGGTGGTGGACAGACCTATGACAGAGATTAAATTAAACAAATCGTAATCGAATATTAACATTCCTTCCCGATATGAATCCTCACAGTTTACGATCACAATCGAGGATCAAAAGATCACAATATTTTCACGAACTTATTGAACAACCTTCTCCCCCATCTCTCCTCCGTTACACGTTTCACGCAACAACGCACATTCCTACATATTTCCATTTGCATCCTCTCGAGAGCAATGCCAATTATCATCTGGAAACCTTCTCTCGAAATATTTTCCCACTTTCTCTTCTCTCCACGGGTCACATTTAATTGCTTCGCAAATGTGAGCGAGACAAAAGTGGTTGTTTGAATATTGTATCCCTCGAGAGAGAGAAAAAGAAAGAGGAAACAACGATCGGCATTTCGAGCCGTGCAATTTGCATGTCTCCCTCGCAACACTCACGACTGTCCACGCGTGCAACGTTAATGAAACTCACACAGAGGCAGATTGGTCGGTCGAGGCGGCTTGATCCTCGGCAGGGTGTCGTCGAGGCCGCTGCTGCTGTCCACCGCGTCCTGGGAATATTGGTCCTCGTTCTCCTTCGTCTGAGTGTGCACGCTCTCGCGTTTGATCCACACGTCCTGCGAGTGTTTGTCGCTCCGCGAGTTCAACTTGGAAGGACGTCGCCGGATCCTCTCCCAGGTCTCTTTCCGGTGACACTTGGCTGAGGACGGGGCTGCGAGGAGAATACGTCTCTTTGATGATGATGGCAATGATGATGGTGAATCGAAGGACGAGTATTGATAATGGATCGATTGGAATGGAAATTTTTGGTTTTTTGCCAAATCTTGGAATCTTAGGTTTGGATTATTTTTTTTTTTGTATGCACGATTAAATAATTATTGAGAAATTGATTATTAAATTGAGTTATAAATTATGTTATTTTTTTAGAATTTTAACACACATTTTGTGCAATTGAATATTAATCAATATTTGGAATGTCTGAATAAATAATAAATAATAATATAAAGGATAAATAATATTATACTTCATTTTATATTTATCGTTATTTGCGACACTATAATTGATATTTTCTCGATTTTTCGGTTGTTTATTAATTTACGCGTTGTTGATCGAATTGCATTCTGCCATAAACAAATAACAATTCGCACTGAGCATCCAATCTAAAGTTATTAAGCCAAACAGATTCGAGTGCACTACTATTTAAATATTGAAATTAATTTTGGTTAACTCAAGTGATAGAGGTAAACGAAAAATGGTCCAAAATACCTTGAAAACATATTGGAAAAATCTATTGTTAATTTAACTATATTAAAGATTTATAAATAGATAGGATTACTTTGGCGAATGTGAAATGAGAACGAAATTCGAATGATTTCGGACAATGAACGAACACACTCCTACAAATGTTTCAATTAACTATTCATGCATTGTTTCACTGAAATTCACCATCCCCCGCCACGAGAACATATCAAATTGCACGGTTACGCGTGTTAATAAAAATGTCTTCGAGACTTATTTAGACTCAGGGCTCTAAGTAATTCGAGGAATGATAATCGACTTACGCTTAACTATCCGTCGATCGGTGCTTCTAGGAGGGCTGGCAGTGCCGATACCGCTCTCCAGAGGAGATGCTCTGTCGGTCGTATCCGGCGACATACTTCCGGAGGAAATCTCGTCCATGCTCTGAAGAAGATCTTGAGACGACGAGGACGACCTATTGTCGTCGTCCACGGTGTCTTGCGGCGAGGCAGGATCCAACGTGCTTTCGTCCTGCAGCGACTGCGAATCCATCTGCGATTCCGCTGTGAACATTTATATTAAACGTTAGACGAGAATAATCGTCGTATCAATCTCGCCTTGTGCTTGAAAATTCTTCGTAGATTTATAATGAAAATTAATCTTTTTTTTAGAAATCTGTTTTTCCTAATTCTCTATAAAATATAAATAATATGAATAGTCTTTTCTTAGCGATGAAAGCAAAACTTTATTCGAAATTGACTCTTTCATATAGCATATATATTAACAAAACATGTATTAATTATTGAAATATAAAATTGAATATGCAATCATTGATATTATAAAATTTGATAATTAAAAAAGAACATAGAATTCTTAATTATTTTTCTCAAAATACAAAATACTTTATCTAAGAAAAGTTCTATTCCATTCTTTCCATTACTTATAATTCTGCTATATTAAAAAACTTTAGTTCTTATCAATTAAATAAACTTTCATAAATTCCCTCATTAACTCCTATTTCATAAAATATAAATCATAACTGGAATGGGATCATTTAATTTTCGTTACATGAAAAATTTTCCCCGTAATAAGAGAGATAAAACTTACGATCGTCGAGTTTCATTAAATCGCCAATTAGTCGATACGAAGAGTTACCTTCGAGTTCAAATAACGATAGGGGAAGAGGAAGAACGCTTGAATAGACGTGAGAGAGTTTACCTCGCGGGGAGTCGCAATCGCTGACCCACGTGAAGCTGAAACTTCTGGAAATAGCTGGGGAAGTTTGCGTCGCTATATCGGAGCAAGTGAGAGAATCCATTGGCGGGCTGTTAGGGCAGCACGAGCCGGACCCGTTTCGGATCTTCGATAACAGGGATTGAAGAGAAATCGGTAGCTGAAAGTATATTTCACTTGGTTATTATCGTGGAACAGATTCGATCTTGCCTGCTAGTCCACTTTTTGCGATCGAATGTGCTCTTTAAAAATAAATCTAATTCATGATCCCTTGAAATACAGTTTTTCGAAAGAGCTTCGGCTTTTTTTTAGATATTTCTCTCATAATTTTCCTTTGTCGTGAAATCTGTTTATCCGATTAAAATTATTGAAAACAAATTACGTTTAAATTAACGAATTCTATTTTCGTGTGTGCGAATTAACTCTTTGACAACCATTCACGTAGAAATTTCGTTTCATTTATTTCGTAAAGCTACGAAGATGGTTATTATTTCAATAATCCTTGAATTCTTTTTTTCGTTTTACAATTCCACGTTTTATTTTATCGCACGTATCATTTATCAACACATGTAATTGATATCCCAATATAAATATTTACTCTGTACAATTAGTTATTAAAATTTCCAATTAAATTCCGTTACCTCGTTGAAATTAATCTTAATTTATCGATCGATGCATCTTGATACGTAACGTTTAAGAGTATTTTATACAGAAAAAAATCCAAAGTTAGGGGGGGGAAAAGAAAAAGGACTCGCAAATACTCACCGAACCGGATCTGGAATTTTGCTCGTCCAGTATCTTCTTCACGTCCACGTTCTCCACCCGTTCGAACTTCCCGCTGTCCACGCTCCCGATGGATCCGACGTTGTCGTCTTCCGGAAGATCGCAACTCACTCCAACGTCGTTGCCCCTCGATCTCGAGAGCGAGAACTTCTTCAAATCCACGGGACTCACCTGCCTCACGTCCTTGTCGGACTCGGACAACCGTTTCGCGGATATATCCGAGCGCAAGGTGAGAGGCGACACGGCCCTCTTCTTCGACAGGCCCTCCTTCGCGTTCTTCGCCCGCAACGCCTCGTTTCCGTCGAGATGAAGGAAATCCTGATCCGGCAAAGAGGACACCCTCACGAGGACAACGTCGTCCGTGCTCTCGTGGAAGACGGGCGCGTGCTTCTTCCACAGCATCTTCGAAAACGGAGACTTCTTCTCCTCCGTTGGCGTGACGGGGGCCGATTTAGGCCCGTTACCGTCCAACGGCCTCCCGCCAACCACCTTGTTGTCCTCCTCCACCTCGTAATCCGGATCCATCGCGCTCTGCTCCTCGTTCCGTCGAATTCTCGCCAACCTCGGCGTCCTTCTCCTCTTCTGGCCCGTCAAATTCACAGGCAGGCTAGTCTTCCTGTGGGGGTCGCGTTGCCTCGGCGGTAATTTCGCGCACGACTCGTCCGTCTCGATGCACGGCCG